CATAACTTTCTGTATGTTTGTAGTAGGTCATGTGTAAACGTTTCACAATGTTCATGAATATGTGAACCTCTGTCTACATATTAGGGAACACAATGTAGGAACTGGGAACAAAACTGGCATCCTGTGCAATAACCACTACTGCACAACATGAAAATTTACTTACCGCCATCCCTTGATGACTGTAATCAAAGTACCCGGAAAGTGGAACAACCACCCCACCGGCTAGCAGCATCGCTACCAGTTACGCACAGCAGGCTGAAGAAGGCACCTAGGTGCCACATCAGAGAAGTACGAGGCCAGTCCACCCTTCTCTGTAGACAGCCGAGAGCTAAGGCGTTGTCAAAGCTGTCCTTCCCAGAATGAAAAAATAAATAAACCAAGGACTCTCACCAAGTTTATTTGCCATTCCCTTAAGCTCTGCTGTAATGTCAAGTATCTAATCTCTGGAGTGGACGGGTGTGTGTGTGTGTGAGGGTGTGTGTACAAGGATGTACCAGGGACGTGCAATTCTCACAGTCCATTCACCCATGGGCTGGAGGCTTTCCCCAAGGGAGCAGATGCAACGGGGGGGGGGGGGGGGGGGGGGGATGAAACCTGGGTGTTAGCATTATTTCTATCCAGGCAATAGGAATAGACTACAAACATTGCATTTATTGGTATGCTGTATGGATACCATTTTCCCACAAAGGGCATTGTTCAAGAGAGCAACAGTCTAACATGGCTAATTGCCCTCTCTAAAAGGCCAGTCTCAACACCAAGTAGATCTGCATCTTGGCCCCATAAACATAAACATAAGGCTATCTTACTCATGAAAGCCAGATGAGTAGCAAGAAACAGCAGCAACAGGTACTTAATGCCTCCCTGTTATTTTACTTAGTGTCATAAATTGCCCATCAAAAAGAAATTTGATATAGAGCCTTCTTATGGGTTGTCTTGCTTTATTTTCTGATATAGTATATGAAAGTTTTTTATGAAAAATCTAAGGTGATTATAGAACTTATAAGTTGAAAGAATCATAAAAAAATGTACTGTTAAATATCTACTTAGTGTGGCTCTATTTTATTGGTTTGTTCTTGTTTTTTTCTGTAATCAAAAGCTAACAAAACTGGCCAAGAGTGGCTCACGCCTGTAATCCTAGCTACTCAGGAGGCTAAGATCTCAGGATCATGATTCAAAGCCAGTCTGGGCAAGAAAGTCCTGAGACTCTTATCTCCAATTAACTGGGGGCAAAAAAGCCAGAAGTGGAGCTGTGGCTCAAGTGGTATAGCACTAGCCTTGAACAAAAAAGCTCAAGGACAGCACCCAGAGCTTGAGTTCAAGTCCTAGCACTAGCACACACAAAAAAAGTAGCAAATGCACTCAAAAATAGTTTTATTTATTTTATATTTTAAATTCAAAATGAAAACCATGCATTGGAAGTAGAGATTGTAAGTCTAAGGTTAACACATGACAAGAATGTATTACACCATTATTCTGAAAGGTACTTTTAAAATTTTAAATACTTTTTTTGTTCAAGAATATCATAAAGACAGGTTTAAAAATTAAAACAGCTAAACAAATGTTAAATTTATTTACAGAAGTGTTCTCAGTTTATGTTAGTATTACATGTATGGAAAAAGTTATTTTTTAAATTCAACTTTCACTGAAAAAACATTTTCAGAAGGCATAAAAAAAGAGGTAGAAATGGATTTATCCATTTGTAGTTTGTGAGCTTTGTGTGTGTGTGTGTGTGTGTGTGTGTGTGCGCGCGCCTACGCGCACACATGCACACGTGCATGAGTATGTGTCTGTGTGTGGGTCCTGGGGCCTGAACTCAGGGCCTGGGTGCTGTCCATGAACTTTTTTGCTCATACTTAATTAGAGATAAGGGTTTCAGGGACCTTCCTGCCCAAGATGGCTTTGACCTGCAACCCTCAGATTCCAGCCTCCTGAATAGCTAAGATTACAGACAGGTGTGAGCCACAGGAGCTGGCTCATTCATGATTTTTTACTCTACTCACAGTCTACCTGTATTTTACTAAATACTAATATTCCTTCTGTATACATTCAAAAATTATTATACAATCATGTTGCTGCTACACTTAATATGAAATAGTTCATTACAAAGACAGAAAGGCATGAGAAACTTCTGCTAAGAGTATCTGAAACAAGAAGCTTTTGTACAGGGCAGGGAATTGTCCCCAGCAACTAGTATTAGCTCTCTGCCCCTCTCCTCCCCCCACTCCCCAAGCCCTCTGCGGTCACAGACCCCTTCCACACAGCACCAACGCTCTTCTTTCTCTATCAGGTTTTCACAGTGTTTAAACTGTTTGCTGTGGATGATTTACGTGACATTTTGGTAGAACTTATTAAGAGATATACCATATTATTTGTCAAATTTTTCTTAAAGCATAGAAATGACAGATTTCTATAACAAAATTATACATAAAGAAGAATAGAATACTTGAAAGAAGAATAGATACTTGCAAGATGAATAGAATACTTGCAAACCCTTGGTGGTGTGTGGATCCTTGTTTTCCTTGAAAGGACAGAGATGATTGGTTCCATTATCTTTCTACTGGTAACAGTGAAACCTCACTCAGCTACTGTTATTACTAAGAAAAACACAACCTGCCCTGCAATGTTCAAATGATTTAAACTGTAAAATTTGAAGTGTTTCAAGTAGTATTTTCTTATATTGGCCTTATAAAAAGGGCTGTGCCTTTGATCCAAGTGAAATTTCTAGTATTTTAATTACATGAGACAGAATTTATAAGAGATGTTGTTATAAGACCCACCAAATGGAACTTCTCACTGTGTTTTATCATGCCACATGACATGGAATATGAAAGGATGTACTGTGAGGACCCAAAGTGAGAAATTAAAGGACACAAGTATTCTACCTCAGCCACCAGGCACTCTTGGGCAAAGAGCATGTGGAATGAAGGTGAAGGGGACCAGACGACAAGCCCCCTCAATGCATGGCCCTCAGAGCTCTGACATAACACCCAGCCCCGCTGCTCTACACTGACAGGTTCAATAGTGATTTCTCCGATTAAACCATCTTGAGTGTTTAATGATTGATAGTAGCTACCCCTCTGTTGCAGGCACTAAACTCGCCCTTCTCCTTTTACCAATGCCTGGCAGGCCCACCTTAACTTACTGAGCAGAAAGTGCAAATGATGAAGATGAACCCTTCCTTTTAGTATATGGAAGAGTGAAGCCAGCGACAGTGTGGTTAGTAGCCTGGTCTTTAAACTCTTCGTGCATGTCCATCTGCTGAGCAAAGTGTGTGTGTGTGTGTGTGTGTGTGTGTGTGTGTGTGTGTGTGTGTGTGTGTGTGTGTGTGTGTGTGTGTATGTATGACTGTAACCTCAATCCTTCCTTGCTGGAGGCAGGAGCTTACTCCTTCCTTTACTACCTTCCTACTACTAACCATTAGTCTTGGACTCAGGTGCTAGCAAAGTAAGGATTTAAGCTGAATACTTATTGCTTACTTACACACACATACACACACACATACTTTAATTAAAGCCACTAGGACTGACAGGCACCGGCTGGCAGTACACTGTGTGCCTTCCAGAGAAACCTTAAGAATGAAAACAAAAACAAAAAAGAAAAATACCTACAGAAGTATTCTACAAAAAAAAAAAAAAACTCCAAAAAATACCCCAAATCCTTCATATTGCTTTCCAACCTATCCCTGAGACATGGAATCGCTAGAGATTCCACAGCTTCTCTGATGCATTACACATGCGACTGTTAGCGTCAAGGTCAAGGAGCGTTCTCTTACTGCCCCAATCCTGCAGAATGAAGATTCACAAGGCAAACACCTCCCTTAAACTCAACACACACACAGAAATTTCACAGATCATCTCTCCCACAGCCTCTCATCTGGTGTCTGTGGTCTCCATGAATGCTATTTTTCCCAAGAATTTCCATGCTTTCAAAGTAAATGGAGAAAGTCATCTAACCCGGCCTCTTAGCTTGTCTGGCAAGCCGGCAGTCCTCCTTTCATATCGTCAGGGGAAGAATGGGAAGTTAGTTTCCCAGCTTCCTATATCACTTTCCGGATTAATCATTTAAAATAATTGAACCTGATCACTTATACTAGGTATTCTTATATGAAATACTTTTCTAGAAGCCACTGCCAGCTATGTTAGTTTATTTCAGTGTTAACGGAATGTTTTATCTATAAGAATAAAGAAATCAGGGAGCATTTGAACACAATCTTTGTAAGAAAGCATGTAAGCCCAGTGACTTCACTCAGACACAAAAGAGACTCATGAAAGCCCATCATGTTTTGCTGCTGTCCTCCTGTACAGAAATAAAAATGCAAGCACTTAAGCCTTCTGAGATCTTGTGGCTGCATCCGGTATTCTTTTTACTTTTGGTACTAATCAATGTGGTCTAAAAACAAACCCAAAAAACAAAAAAGCAACACATGCCAGTTCATCCATAGCTTAGTTACCTTGAGACTGAACACATGGGTAAACATTAATGTGGCTTTGCTTTTGCTTTCACAAGGTCAAGATGAAAACCTTAAAACTGTGATCCTAAATTCTACTTCCCATGTTCCGGAAGTATGCTAGCACTGTACAGATTACAGGATTAACCTTTCCTGAACTCGCATTCCCAATTAGACATCTTGTCCAGAAATCACACAGAAATTCCCCACCAGAGGATTAGCAGTTAGGGTAAGGTTTTTTTTAGGACAGTGTCAGTACAGAGTCCTGGGGACTGAATGGCCATTTTTAGGTAAAATACTTCCCTGAAACCATGCATTTAAGAAATGCCCTCATTTTTCTTCCTCTCCCAGATCCTCCAGGGGACACACCAGGAAGACTGTTACTAACACAGTTTAAACATGAACCGATAGACAAAGAGTGCACAAAATCTACTGAGCTGTTCTGTGAGCACCGTGAAAGTCAAGAACGAACTGCGGAGGGTGTGACCGTGCGCTGCTCTGCTAGGCAAGTCTGAGTGTTACACGTCCCCACAGAGGTAGACGCAGCCCTTACCATGTCTCCAGGTTTGACAGAGACGGCCACCACCACGCCTGGCATCGGGGAGCGCAGAGTGCTGCTTGTGTCCTCGGCCACTTTTTCTGGCATAAACTTGTTCAATTCTGCCGCAAGTTTGGTAAAGACGTGCACCTTGTACTTGAAGGAAAACAAAACAAAACAAAAGCATAACGAAGTTTAAATGAAGAACTTTCCTCTAAAAGTAATGTTCATACAACATGAATTTTCAGCTTTTTTTTTTACTTTAAATTGTCCTTTAAATTATATTCGAATCCTATTCAAAATTCATTTCTGACAGATATAGGCCAGTTATTTTAAAAAATATTTTTTGAAATAAGTACTATAGTTGTTAATTACTAATAGATAACAATCACTTAAATCTTGAAGAAAAACATCTGAGACTTTATGAAGTAAACAGTGAGAATTTTACTCGTATTCCCTTTACTGCACGCAAACTTTTCTGGGGCAGCTCAAGTCCCCGGCACCGGATGGAATGACACTGTGAAGACACACCAGTAGATGGCAGCAGACTGCTGTCTCAAACCTATGCCCCGGCAGGTCTGTGGCACTGGCTGGATCACAAGTTAAGACAAAGGGTTTCAGTGTTCATTTTAGGCAAAACAATCTTTAAAATTCAAAAAAAAATTTTTTTGGTAGCAGATAATGTTAAATTTATAACCCGAAAAGTTAGCTTTTGTTTTTAGGCATAGTCTTTTTGATATAATAAGATGATTAGGATACAGAGAGATGCACTGAGAGTATCTTCTAGATGGAGAGAGCATCGCAAGATTTTAAAAACGCAGAGAGAAAACAATATGCACAGCCATGCGTTTTCATGGCATCTTCGGCACATGGCTCTCTCAAACAACTGGGACATCTTTGAGCCATTCTAATTGAACAACATGTTTCTAATAAAAATCCTTACTGAATGGGAAAAATCCCCGATCTCTGAGTCATGATTTGATCTACACAAACAGAAATGGGTAACATGGTTTGCTGGAGCCACTACCAGAAGACTCTGGTGAGTGTCTGGGTGAGACAGAAGCATTCCGGGAGCAGCTCCACTGTGTGGAGGGAGGGCTGCTACTCAAAGCCTCCTGTTGGCATCTCGGTGGCAGGAAGGCAAAGGCAAGAGCTGAACTCACCCTTTGATTTCCACACAGGGACAGAGGAAATCTCCAAGTGGTCTCTTTGCTGGACCTATTTAAAAGGGGTGGGGGAAGGGCTCCAGCAAAGAGCTTTGATAGCCTAGGTTCCAAGTAGATTTGCAACACTGTGACAGGTTGAATAATAACATCTTCTGCATGTTTCTTTACTCTGGAGTGTGTGTTTTGCAATCAAGACTTAACAGGCATCTGCCAGTTTCTGAAGGATATGATCCTTAAGTGAAATTACAGTGCAAATAAAAGCTTTTTGCTCCTATTAAAATTCATCTGAGTCATAAGTGGCAAGGGAAAAAAGCAAGGAGAGTGCACGCTGCTGTCAGTCTAATAAACATTCTGGGCAGAGCGACTATTTATCGCTGATGAATTGTACCGCCAAGTCCTTCATTAAGCCTATGGGGGAGGTAGAGGAAGAGGGGAGCATATAATTGGGCCAAATTGTACATTTTTAGTATCTGAGCTCCCTCTGTCTTGGAAAGAAATCTAGGATCACTGGAGTCAACTAAAAAGTTACGTTTGTGACTGGCATCACCAGCTGGGCTGCAACTGGTAAGGGCTGCACCTCGTTTTTCAATGTAGCACACAGGTCTATTTCTTTCCCTTGTTTTTTTTTTTTTTAATAATTCATCTTCAAAATATGAACTTTGAATTCATCGAGAAAAGTATCTTTATACTTTCAGGATAATATGAATATGAACCATTTACCACACAAGGTACACAAGGACTCATTTTTAGCTTCTCACAAATAAGCCCTCAGAAGAATTAAGTGCTCAGCACCATTTCTCCCAAGAAGTGACCAGATCCTGACTAAGACGGAATCTTTTTTTCTATTTTTGTAACTTTCATATCTTCTGGATTCCTTTCTCTGTAGGGTTCCTGCTTTACTTGGAAAGAGATGTAAAAGAGGAACAAAACTCAAGGCCTTTAGATGCGGTCTTTGTTATTGATGAGATGTTCCTTTTCCTTTTGTATTTGTTTATTGTTCTTAAATCTGTTTGGGGATAAATGACTTATTGTAATCACAAGTAAAAAATAACAACGAAGTCAACGCCTCAGGAGAGGCCCAGTTGCTCATAGTTGACTTTAAAGTGACCTTTCTGAATATAAAAAAAGGAGGCAGAGAGAAGGTTCTTTTCTTAAGATTACCTTTGATGTTGGCCTGACCCTTTCCTGTCCACACATCCCCACACAAATGCCCTCTTAAAACAGCCTCCTCTCGTAAACAGGCAGTTCTGTTTGCACGGAGTGTGCCCAAATGGGGCTTGAGCAGGACACAGCATACGGGCCCATTCGAGTGAACTGACCTGGTGAGGAGCAGAAGTTTTTGATGGCCTAGAAAATAAGTCATCAAAGAACACACACTGAGTCACATACACTGGCTTATGATCCAAACGGTCTCTGGATTCTTTGGGGCCACAGTATAAGAACAGTGCCCCTGAAGGGACTCAAAGATTCAAGTCTGGTAGCATTCCCCATGGGTTTGGGGGTGTTTAATCTTCCCTCTCTTCCCTCAAGTTTAGATTTTAAACTTTTGCTGTTTTCAAGCAGATAAACTGCTCCATTGCTGTTTTCAGGGTGTAAAGCCAGGTTTCGGAAGGTTAGCTGACAGGACGGTGAAGCTCAGCCCAAGAAGATGGCAGTTTTCAACCTGTTCGTGTCAGGGAAAGTGTCCGCAAGCTGCCACAGAGCTGGACGGCGTCAGATCCGGGCTCGTCAGTAGATGGACTTTCATTCTTCTGGCTTCAGAGGACAGGTCTACCAGCCACCACGCTGGGTAAATTATAACAGAGAACAGGTGGCTCTCTGGGCTTGGTCTGGACAGGCAATCAGCATATGACAATAATGGGAGTGAATGAGGTGGTATCTAATGATCCAATTATGTAAAATGACCCCCAGCCTAGCTCTGCAAGCAAATTAATTTATATTAAAAAATGAAACCATATCTAACAAGAAAATTTCTCCCAAAAGTTTACAAGAAAGATATGGAATCAGACATGAAAATCTCAGGCAGAAAACCATAACACATGGACAATGAAAAGGCATGCAATGGGGTTGCTTTTTAAAACTACCACACATAAGCTGAGCACCAGTGGCTCACGCCTGTAATCCTAGCTACTTAAGAGACTGAGATCTGATGATCACAGTTCAAAGCCGGCCTGGACAAGAAAGTCTGTGGGCTTTTATCTCCAATTAACTACCAAAAGGCTGGATGTGAAGCTGTGGCTCAAGTGGGTAGAGCATCAACCTCGAGTGAAATAACTAAGGGATAGTGCCCGCCCCGAAGTCAAGTGCCAGGACCAGCACACACACAGATATACACACATTACTAACATAGAGCTCCCACCTGGGAATGGATGCAGATAGTGGTAGGGGAAAAAAGAAGCTGGCATAGATTGGGAAAGAAGGATGCTTTTGCACTGGAGCATCCAGCATGTCCACCCATGCTATATAGCCTGTCCAGAACCCATCACTGAAAACTGTTCCTATGACATTGTCTCCAGTGGGATGGTCACTCGGCCAGGCATCCTGATGGGTGTTTTATCAATCTATCTAGCACATGCACCTTCGTGTGGATTTTAACCGGTGTCTTCCTTTCCAAGGCCTCCAATGGACCTATGATGTACAGATCCTGCATGCTCGGCTGGAGTCCTGGGTCTGGTAAGTGCTTACAGGGTAAGCCCAGTTTGCTTTACCTATTCTTTCAGTTCTGACTCGAGTCTCTTGTTTTGTTGCCCATAGGGTGGGCTCGGGTGTAGTCTCTCCAGTCATTCTTCCAGTGACAATCAGAATATAGCTGATCAATTGCTAATGTATTTGTTCATGTCAACTGTTGATCATTTCAGTTAACACCCTAGTTAAGAGACAATGATGAAGCTCTATCATAAATTATTTCACATTACTTCTCCTAAGATCCCAAAGCACTGGCCAAAATCTGTACCCCTATACCACAACTCCTTTTCCCTAAGGATGGTGGTAGACACCTTTCTTCAGAGACTCTCTTCCTAGCCAAGGTCTCACACTTTCTGGTCCCAGAGGTCTCCAACGTTCGTGTAAGTCATCCTCCCCAGGGCATGACGGCTAATGCTCAAGTATTCCCCTAAAAGTTAGAGTTGGAGGAAAATGATCATGCTTTTAAAGTAGCAGAAGTGATGAGCTACAAAATAATTCATTAGTTCAAAATCTGTGTATGGGAAAGGCAGAGAAATTCAATATACATTAGATTTAAATTAAAACACTTGGCTGGAATTTTAATGATAACTGTCAACATTGCTTCTCAAAAGTTCTTTGTGGGATACAGTCAACCCCTGAGTCAAACCCGAGGTTCAAAGCCACACTTATCCCTCTACTTGAACACAAACCATACAGCTAACTTCATTAAATAAACACTTCAAAAATCTCCAAGAAGCAATACTATAGACACACTGAACTAAAAGCCCATAGCTGCCTTCAAGCACGCAAAGAAGGTAGAAGAGCAGATAGTAAAGGGGCCCATGCAGCTGCACACAGAGCAGCCTGTTAGCTGTGACAACTCCATCAGCACAGTCTCAAGGTAGCTGTCAATCAGGATGCATCATTTAATCCAACAGCACTCCGAGGACTTTCTCCTACAACCCACATGACAGCATATCTACAGCTCTATTTATATCAGCGCCCAGTTGTGTTTACAATGCTGTAGTAATTAGAAAAGATGCAACAGGCAGCAATATTATTGAGATTTCCATTTTGCAGCATTGCCCCGTAAAGTGTGATCTTGCTTCACAGAGTCATGCTAAATGACAAAAGGCTATTTTCTTCAATCTCCCAGCTCCGACAGCACTTCATTTGCAGCTATCTATAATTAGATTAATGGTGTAGTGCAGTACAAAGCAGGCCCACTTCACATCAGATAGCATATGAATTAGGACAAACACTTATTTCAATTCCAGGCAGAGAAAGCAATGACTGGGGTATTTAGCATACCCTTTATGGTGGAAT